GCTGTGTGCTTTCGCCTTTATCAGTTATCCGGTTATGATTATTCAAACTGGGAGTGGCAGAGGGCCATGTCGGTTGAGCTTAAATGGATTATGCCTTGGGTTGGAAAATTTGAGTTTAGATCTCGAGGGTTTTGACTGGTGAGGTGCCAGTGGGAGTCGCAAGACTCAAATAGGGGTGGAGACGAAGCATCATGGAGGATTTCAGTCTGAGTTGAGTGGTTGGGCGATGGCATGTGATGTCAAGGTTATATTTTGAGAATTATATTATTCCTTTTTCCCATCTTGAGAGGATAAGTGAGTGAGTTTTGATGTCAGAGATTAGAAGAAGACCCTGTGGAGCACCAAGGAGTTACGATATTAGCACCTAGAGTATTTTGTTGTATGAGAGCATTAAGTTACATTCTTATGCTGGGAAGGGTCATCAGTGAGTATTGTGACTAGTGAAGGCTCGAGTATGCCTTTTTTGAGTTTGGTAAGTTATATACCGGCAACTATTTCCGAAAAACGAGAGTAGTATATCGAGATGTTGGTTTTTGTGGCTATGCAGCGAATTGAATGTATGAGTGAGATCTCCTGTGCTATGTCGATTCATATAGTGGGATGATGTTGAGGATTCAGAGAATGAAGAGTGGGATGGTCCATTATTTCAAAAAAAGGAGAAAGTGCTATCCTAGGATCATCGGAATAATTGCATGTGCAGCCGGACGAGATTTTGGGTGACCGGAGACAGTCACATTAGGGAGTTGCTAGGATTTCATCAGAGATTCGGGATATATGGAGTTGCTTGGTCTTCCTTTGTGAGATCATCAAGTGTTAAGTAGTACGTTTTAAGAGTCAAGTGTGTTGTATCTGGTGAAACAGTCTATGGAGTAGACTGTTGATATGTCAATTGGTGATGGTCAAACCCTGAGTGGGGGAGAACTGAGTATTCTGTTGAGAAGATCAACAATCTATTCAAGTTGCGGTTAGAAGATTTGGTTATGGGGATATGCGGTACAGACATATGAGACATGGGTTTATTGGTGGACGAGGCAAGGTACAGAGTGAGGTGATGCATATAGTGAGTGTTCAGGAAAGAACGAGTGTACCCACAGCAAGTAGCCATTGGTCAGGGATCTTATTATGGCCAGGGAATCTTCGGTATTGCAATGGTTGAGTTCGAGGCGGTTAGTTCGTTGAGGTCAAATTTCAGTTGTTTAGATTTTCCAGTTCGATGTATAGATTGTTATATATACTCTGGGAGAAGTGGCAATTAACTTGTCAATTAGTTTTATAGTCAGTATGGGTAGCTTCGCATGGGTTTTGATCAGTAAGAAGATAGGGTTTTGGATGGTTATCAACATGTTCTCAATCATTGACAATTCCTCTATGTTTCAATTTGTGAGTGGAGTATTTCGAGGTTATGAGTTGTGAGAGAGGAAGATCAATGACCATAGCAAGACATTATGAGATTCTGTGATGGTGTATCGCGGTAACCGAATATGATGTCGTGAGTGGAAGATCAGTGGTTAAGGAAAGCGAGCGCGAGATTCTATGATGAGGTATCGAGGTGTCCGAGTATGATGCCCTGAGTTGTTGGATTATTTTGAGACTCGAGTTTATGAGACGACAAGTGGAGTACCAAGTAACTCTTGTTCCGATGGGAACCCATCATCTAATTGTCATTGGATGGGGATTGTCAAACAATGTGAGTTTTATCAAGGGAAAGTGTTGTGTAGCGTCAATTTTTGTTAGGGGTAGTGATTTTTAATCTGGGTGGGTGTATACACCTGTTCATGATGGATCGCGGAGCATGAGTTCAATGAGAAAAATATAGTGACGACTTAATAATGAGATTGTGGGGGTGGTAAGAGAGTGGAAGGATCCAAGTGAAAGTAATCACTTTGTAATATCAGGGAAAAATCATGGGGAGAGGCCATGGCGAGTGAAAGGGTGATGTAAGCCTGCGGGAAACTGTAGAATTCACGAGTGAGTGAGTAAGTGATTTAAGCCTGCGGGGAGCCGTAGCATTCACGAGTAAATGAGTAAGTGAAGTAAGCCTGTGGGGAGCCGTAGCATTCATGGGTGAGTGAGTAAGTGATGTTATCCTGTGGGGAGCTGTTGCATTCATGAGTCAGTGTGAGGGTATCGTAAGACTACGGGAATCCGTAGTATTCCCTGGTTAGAGCATGACAGAGAGGAGTTCTTAGGCTTAAGTAGCCTTGATGATTGAGTCCTTGGGAACCTGGTGGCTGGACCAGGAGCGAGATTGGGGTCTCCATGATGGTCGGGATCTGTTATATCTCTAATTGGGATGACGTTGTTGATGTGTTATGGTCATAAGAACATCCTATGTGCTCATGCAACCCTAATGCTTGGATCTAGGTTTCTCTATTGTACATGCAATTTATCGAAGACTATAAACCCTACATCTAGCACATGAAAATCAATATTAACATAATAATGCGTTTAAGATATTACCTTGATGGTTATGTAGCAATAACAATCACAATTCCTTCTTGTATCGAATTTAGGAAGCTTAGAGTCAGAAATGTCACTCCTCTAATGGTTCACAAACACCAAGAGTAAGAGGATGAAGAAGAGAAGAGAAGGAGACACCCAAAAGCCGTCCAAAACCCTAAGGAGTTACTTTTCCTACGTTTTTGGTGCTCTAAGGATATTTATATAGTGAAGCTATTAGGGTTATCAAACAAGGAAACCCTAATATGGATGCTTAAACCCTAAACAACCCATGGACTCCTTCCTTAAAGGCCCTAGGACGATTTCTAATGGGTTTCCCCATACAATTCGTCCACCCCTTTAATATGGAGTCCATTAGCTCAATATTCAACTATCATACAATTGACAGTTTAAGTCCCTTAAGTTTAATTAATCTCTTTTGGCCATAAACTTAATTCTTATTAATTCTTGACTAATATTAATTAAACAATATGATTTCTCCTTTAATATATTATTCTCATAATATATTAATAAATCATATTTAATCCGTTCTCTCCATAATTCATCCTATCAAGTTGCTTTGGTGAAGGCAACCCAAAAGGACCATTCACCATCGGGTCAAGTACATACCAAAATAGTTATGGACTTAAACACTAATCCAATAGTCTCCCACTTGGATAAGTCTAATAACTATTCTGCGTATGACTTCAGATCCTGATCTGCAATCGTAGCTTTCTAAAGCCGCTGTCAACTCTGATCTCATCATGTACGCGTGTCCTTTAGATAAGGGATCATATATTCCTCCATTCTAGATTTCATCGCTTAGACTGAGACATGGATCTAAATCATTCTCTCTGTCTATGTGTTGTTTCGAGAATTCAGATTTATGACGACTGACAACAGACTACAATTGAACACATCAATTAGTCCCGGCTTGGCCAAGCGCTTAGGTGCCATCACTAAATTATCGAGGGGCCCACAGATATCGATTTATCCTACTTTGGATAAAAGGAACGGATAAACTTTGACTCAATGCTCGCTTGCAGTCACTCACTGAATCACACACAACAATACGTTTTATAACACCAAGTTACTAGTGCGTTTACAAATTATCAATGTGCAACCAACTCGCAAGATACAACTCACACATCTCGGTTTCAAGAATATAAGATATTATCGTCTCACCAATCACTCGTGATAAAATCCATGAAGTGATCCAAGTGAGCGTGGGTTTAATCCAATGCTCAAATCATATTCATAAGCACTCATGAACGTTGAAGCAAACATTTGCTTATGTCTAATACTCTTTAGACAATCCACACACCAATTCACGACATTCTTCTTTCATATCTACTTCGAATATATGAATGATTGTGGCCCGTTCGAATAATTTGATTGTTCTTAACCAATAAAATTATTCAGGTTGTCAAAACATGCAAAGTGAAACACAAGAATAATACTAATCTCATATGGCCTCAATCCTTTAAGTATAAATAAAACATCCACTACTAGAAAAAAAGCCTTTTACGACGCTCATTGCGCGTCGTAAAAAGCTCAGATGACGTGCAAATGCGCGTCAAGGAAGGCCCTGTCATAAAGAGAGACGACGCACTTTTGTGCGTCGTCTATAGACGACGCGCAATTACGACGTGCGTTTACGACACTCAATGCGTATCAAGGAAGGTCCTGTCATAAATGAAGACGACTCGCATTCGCGTGTCGTAACCTTAGGACGCGCATGTTAATGACACGTAATGCGTATCAAGAAAGCACCTGTCAAGAAAGGCCATGTCATAAATGAAGATGACACACATTTTTGCGTATCGTAAATTTAAATGTTTAAAAAAATAAATTTATATATTTATTAATTTTTAAATTAAATTTGCATTTAATTTCTCATAATTGAAATAAAATACCATATACAAAAAATACAATCCATGGCATGATATAAAATAAAATTTCATACTCAAAAAATAAAATAAGTTGCACAAATTATAATGTCATACAAAGAATCATTCAAATGTTAAACAAAAATAATACATTGCTAACATGGGTTATACATTGCTATAAAACTAACAAAGAATCATACAACTCTGTTTCTTACTGGAAAGGAATGCCAAACATGATTACAAGTCTCCCTTAATCTTGATTACTCACCTGCTTAAGTAGAATGCTGTTGTTGAGAAGGTTACCTAGCAACAGAGAACAACACAACACGTCTCCCACAATCACAACATCATTTACAGAAAAAGGGTTGTCAATTACTTTCATTAAGACTTTAATTCAATCAAAAAAATATTAAATAAAAGGTTGGTGTTGACCAACAAGTCCTTAATAGGCTTTTCATTACCTGATAAAGAAGAAT